TGCTTCATGAATGATTCGTGCATGTTCCGTGCGCATTTTATGCGCGCTTCACCAATGCTTCATGCATGCTTCATGTGTATTTCATGCACACTTCACTCATTCTTCATGCGCAGTGCAATGCAAATTGTTCTGGGCATGCTCAGAAGCAGAAAACGGAGTGTAAGCAGTTCCAGCGACCTAGGCTGCCAAACCCTGACCGGTTCGGCTAAACCAGTCCAAACCAGTAGGAACCCGGTGTGTGCGTGTGTTTGTTTGCACTTGGCAGTCCTCGGCTTACGACTGCAACTGAGTTCAAAGTGTCTGTTGCAAAGCCAGACCGTCGTTAAGTCAGTTTTGCCCCATTTCACCCCCTTTCTTGCCACCGGCGTTAAGTGAATCGCTGCAGTTGTTCAATTAGGCACAGGGTCGTTAAGTGAATCCGGATCCCCCCCCCCACTGAGTTTGTTTGTCCGAAGGTCATAAAAAGAGGATAACGTCACCCCGGGGCACTGCGACCGCCATAAATAGGAGTCAGCAGCCAAGTGTCTGAATTTTGATCCCGTGACCATGGGGAGGCCGTGACGGTCAAAAGTGTGAAAAACGTTCATATGTCGCTTTTTTTAGGGACATGGTAACTTCGAGTGGTCATTAAATGAACTGTTGTAAGTTGAGGACTACCTGTAAACCCCCAAATCCTTTTTTAACTGTCAGACATATGTTTCAAACAGACTCCGTAAAACGGATTCCCGTACCAGAGGTCCGAGGTCCGATCTCGCCGGTGAAACTCCACCGCCTTTGTGTCTACGGCACGGAGGCTGCCAAGAAGCCAAACAGCTTTGACGTTGGCATGGTGGTGCCCGGCACGGCATCACACGTGCCATGTGACCTCTTTGCCAACGGAACTTCTCTCTCTTCCAGAACCCGAAAAACCTCCGGTCGTCGTCCGTCCGGTGAAGAAAGTGTACCCCCGAAAGCCATCGATACAATTCTCTGATGAAGATCTCCCGCAGAGGCGGCGGCGGCGAAGCCAATCGCCGCAACGGCGCTGTCTCCAGTGTACCCTGGAGCCGCTCAAGGTCACCATGAACTTGGAAAACAGGCACTGCCGATGTAAGAAACACCGTCATCACCGACACGGGTACCCCGATTGTCCTTATGACAGCTTGCCCTGTTATTACAACTCTGAATACGATAACCGACCTCGGCCCCGGACCACTTCAGCCCCCTCGGCCTACCCTGGCCCCCGTTTCCGAGACGTCGCAGTGGGGACTTCCGACATAGTGGTTAATGTCCCTACCGAGGAACGCCGGAACACCCTAGTGCCCACCGAACCGTACCTACGGATCCCGGTGGCGGAACCTCCGCGTCGCTCCTTAGCCGGCGGCCAGGAGGGGGAATATCCGCCCACCGGACAGCACTCCCGGCGTCCTGCCCGAGTGTACATCTACCCCGTCCACCCTCAGACCCCACCGGGGAGCCGGTCGCCGACTCCTGAAAGGGCCCGCCGGCGACGGACCCTCAGCCAGGACGAACAGGCGGAGTTCGAGGCGCAACGCAGACGGGAATCGGAGACACCGGCTCCTGCGACGCAGCAGCTGCAAGTCACCAGCGGGAGTCCTCCCCGGTTCCATAACGTAGTCAACGCCATCATGCAAGCAGGGGCCACGCCAGCCGAAGGCGCAGCAGCAGCCGGCACAAAGAGGCCGTCGCGGGGCGAGACCCCACCGGGCTCTGAGTGGGTGTACCGCAGCAAATGAACTCTCCAGTGGAAAGCAGGGAGTGGGAGGAGGAGGAGGAGGAGGAGGTGGAGGAGGAGGAAGGACAGACCTGCAGGTGACCACAGTGGGCCCCCTCTTGATTTGGGGAAGGAACATTAAAAGCAAATCCATCCGTCCCATAAAATCGTATGGCGTGTTGCTCGCGCCGTCTCGGGTCAAACCGTCTTTGCAAACACTTTCTTTTTAAAGGGTCTCAACCAACAATCTTGGGGGGGGGAGGGCAATTTGCCGACCCCCTCCCCTGCAAGGAACAATCTCTCGCACACAAGAAGTTGTTCGCCGACCCCCACATCCCACCTGCCTGATTTGGGGGTTGGGGGTTGGGGGAGAGATGCCTGGAGGGCTCCTGATTGCAACTCATCAGGAAATTAAACGCTCTTATGCAAACGAGGCCCCACGCTCCTCCCCCTCTGACAGCTGTCAATCAGCGTCTTCCCAAGGACAGCATGTTTTTTTTGCCGTCCTCAGCACACACGGCGGGGCCGGGAGGCGCTAATGATCTTTATCTGCCTTTCAACCTGAGCATAATTCCCGCACGCCGCTCAAGGGCATCGTTGACATTTCGACGCGCTGTTTGGATAACCCAAGGAAGTTGCCGAAGAACGGAGGTGGAAGGGACCCTGGAGGTCTTCTAGTCCAACCCCCTACCCAAGCGGGAGACCCTAGGCCATGACAGGCAAAAACCCCTCGGAATGGCACCTCCTCCAAACCGTGGGTTGCTAAATCAGGGTCAGTTGCATAAGCCACCAGATCCAGGCAACCTGGGACACTAAACCATGAATGGTGGTTTGTTGGTTCCGAAGCCGCTGCAGATAAGCCAGTGCTGATCGGCAAGGAAGCCATTTGGGAGAAGGGCAGTCCTCGACTTATGACCCGCAAACTCAAGGTCAGAATTCCCACTGCTAAGCAAGGCAGTTGTTACGCGGGTGAGTGTGTATTCCGCACAGCATTCGCGCAATAAGCCTTCATGGGGAAATTCCCCCAAACCAGCATGTAAAATGTTTCTCAAACCACAAAACCTCAAAGCTGCCAGTTATTTCAACGCGAGTCCTTATTTCCACCCACTTTTGCCACCGTTTGGCCCACGGTTGTTAAGTGGACCCCGACAGTCGTTAAGTGAATCACACCATCGTTAAATGAATCCAGCTCCCCCACCCCTTAATTTTGCTTCTCGGAAGCCGGCTGGGATGGACACAAAATGGCAGTGTGACCCGTGACACTGCAGATGTCATACATCCATGCCTGAGCTTTGACCCCACGACTGTAGGGAATGCCGCAACGGTCATAAGTGTGAGGACTTGTGGTTTTCACTGGGTTTCGGGTCTGTCAGAACTTCGAACGGCCACTAAACGAATCGTTGTAAGTCGAAAACTCCCTGTATAGCCGGATTTCACGATTTTTGGCCACGTGAAGAGGTTTGGACTTCAACTCCCAGAATTCCCCAGCTGGGGAATTCTGGGAGTTGAAGTCCACACCCAATTTTTCCAAAATGGAAAAATACTGCTGTCCAATCAACCCCCCCATCAGATTTCTTAGAAGGGGCCCCTCACCCTGGATAAAGACCACCCCCCAAGCCCCCCCTTCGCAGTTTGTCCCCCCCCCATGACATTCCCTGGATTTCAAAGCCCCCCCCCTTTGCAATATGTTAATCTGACCCTTCCCCACCATCTATCTCTCAGCTGCCAGCTGTGGATTATGGGGGTAGGAATCCAGGGGTTTTGGGGGGGGGGTCAATTAATTGCAATTTCCCTTGAGGGGGGGCATGCTGAAGTGGGAATGCTGAAAAGGGGGACATTTACCAGGCATATTGGGGGCAGGTCGTACTTCTTTAGCCCCCCCCTCTGTTTCTCCCATCCTCGCGCCCACCCACCCAATTCAGGGAAGGGACTTTCCCCCCAAAGTAGAGAGAGGACTAGTTGCCCCTCCCTCCATGCTTTAAGTCCTCTCCCCTGTTTTGGGGGGCTTCCCCCCAAAATGAAGAGTGAGCCAGCTACCCCTCCCACATGCTTTAAGACCCCTCCCCTATTTTGGGGGGGCTTTCTCTCAAAATGAAGAGTGAGCCAGCTGCCCCTCCCAGCATGCTTTAAGACCCCTCCCCTATTTGGGGGGGGCTTCCCCTCAAAATGAAGAGTGAGCTGGTTGCCCCAGCATGCTTTAAGATCCCTCCCTCATTTCGGGGGGCTTTCACCCAAAATGAAGACTGAGCCAGCTGCCCTTCCCAGCCTGATTTAAGACCCCTACCCTATTTTGGGGGGGGGCTTCCCCCCAAAATGAAGAGTGAGCCAGCTGCCCTTCCCAGCATGCTTCAAAACCCCTCCCCTATTTCGGAGGGCTTCCCCCCAAAATGAAGCGTGAGTGGGCTGCCCCTCCCAGCATGCTTTAAGACCCCTCCCCTATTTGGGGGGCTTCTCCTGAAAATGAAGAGTGGGACAGCTGCCCGTCCCAGCATGCTTTAAGACCCCTCCCCTATTTGGGGGGCTTCCCCCCCAAAATGAAGAGTGAGCGGGCTGCCCCTCCTACATGCTTTAAGACCCCTCCCCTATTTCATGGGGCTTCCCCCAAAATGAAGAGTGAGCGGGCTGCCCCTCCCAGTGTGTTTTAAGACCGCTCCCCTATTTCGGGGGGGGGGGGGAAGGCTTCCCTCCCAAATGAAAAGTTAGCCACCTGCCCCTCCCTGCATGTTTTAAGAGCAGGGGCGGGATGAGGTTGCTGGAACTACATCTCCCAGGGTTCCCAAGGGCAGCTGCCCTCGGTGGGCGGAGCTTCGGGCTCAGCCAGGTAAATGCACAGGTGAGCAGGGTGCGGCAAGGAAGGAGCGGAGGGCTCACTTGTGCCCTTTGAGATGACGGGGGGGGGGGATAGGTGGAAGGAGATGGGGCACCCCAGAGGCTCATGGGAGGGGGGAGGGGAGGCTGAACCTGTCCAAACCCGGATGCTCCGGGCCACACCTGTGGGCGTGTCCTTCCCTCAACAGCTTCCTGGTGAAGCCCAGAACCCGGGGTCTCTTTGTGGTCTCCCATCCCAGACCCTGCTTACTAGAGGCTTGTGGGGTGGGGTGGGGTTAGAGTGGAGTAGAATAGAATAGAGCTGGAAGGGACCTTGGAGGCCTTCTAGTCCAACCCCCTGTTCAAACAGGATGAGATGAGATTCGATTAATTGGATTAACAGAGTTGGAAGGGACCTTGGAGGTCATTTAGTCCAACCCCCCCCCCACCTCTTTTGACTGACTTTTCCTTCTGCAAGGGATGGCAGAGAACCCCCCACCCAAGCCGGCCCCCGCCAAGCCTCTCACGGACCTGGACTTCCATTCCGGGGTGCATATCGCGGAGCTCAACCAACTCATCCAGGAGTACCAAGCCCGGACCCCCGAGATCAGGGGAGACCCTGAATTGTTCCAAGCCAAAGATCTGATTTTCTCGCTGCTAGGTGAGTTGGGGGGCACGGAGACAGAGAAATCAGCCCCCTGCCCCCCCCCAAATGCCCCTTCTAGCCCACCCTGATCCAAAGACCCACAGCCCTTTGCCCACCCGCTGCCTTGTTCCCCCTACAGGCCAGGTCCAACAATCCGATGGGAAATTGCCCCCGGTCAACCGCTACTTCCTTCTCTCCGGTGGGACCCAGCAGGGCACCGTCCACGTGGATGGTACCACCCTGTGTCCCCTTTTTCCCGGCGGCGACTACGATACCAGTTTCACGCTCCTGGTGCCGGTTCTGAACGCGGCCGGCGTGCCCATCACGTTGGACATGACGCAGAGCCCCCCTGGGCACACCCGGATCAGCCTCCAGCCTTTCGATGCCCCCACCCTGCAACGCTGGTCCGAGTGCAGCTCCGGGGACGAAACGTTCCTCTCCGCAGCGCTAGTGTCCGAGTGGTTTTTCCGGGCGTTGTCCGCGGCGGCGAACAACCTTCGTGTCGAGCTCCGAGGACGCGTCACCTCCGTGATCGTCTGCGTCGGATCCCACCGGGTCCTCTATGACATCGTCCCGGTGGTCGCCTTTCGGGGGTGGCCCGAGGTGGCCCAGCCGTGGCTGCACCAGGGACATTTCTGGGATGGCAAATTACGGGACGAAGACGTGACCGCCAGTTTCTACCTCTTCCCGTCCACTTCTGGCTCGGATTGGTACCTCGCTTTCTCGGCTAGCGAGCTGCACTTGAGGCGCATCCTTCCTCCGCCCCTGTGGTGGTCCTTGCGAGCCACCATGGCCGCTCTCCCCTGGAGCGACCTGGAGGGCCTGGGGCCGTACCACCTCTTCACCCTGGCCTTGTGGTCCTGTGAACGGCTGCCCAGCCGCTACCTGGCCGAGGAGGAGAATGCCGCGCACGCCCTCCTGGGGGTCCTGGATGATCTGTCGGGCAGCCTGGCTAAGGGACACCTCCCCAATTATTTCCTACCCCAGTGGAACCTCCTGCAAGGCTTCTCGCCTCGAGTCATGAGGATCCTGGTCCGGGCCGTGGCCCAGGTGAGGGCCAACCCCTCCACGTACCTCCGCCAGGCCGTAGAAGCGGCTAAGGAAGTTAAACGGCGGGCCAAGGCATATCGGCGCCAGCTGTTGACCCCTACGGACCCATAGCCATGCGGCTGGTTCAACAGGGACGTATCCTGAAGCAGCTCATCTTGGATTCTTTGGGTAGAAGGGAGGCTGGGTGGATGCGTGCCACGGGCAGGGTGCCAGCCGTCAACACAGGACCACACTCCGCGGGCGGAGATCGAAAGGACCACAGCAGCCCCCGCCCACTGGCTCACCTCTGAGATCATCCCAGAATGCGACCTCCAGCTGGCGGGTGGCTGATGGGCAGGTGGGCCTCGACTCACGATCGCCATTGAGGCCCCGAATTTCCGTCGCTAAGCGAGACGGCTGTCGAGTCGGTTTTGCTCCATTTTTACGACCTTTCTTGCCAAAGTTGTCGAGCGAATCACCGTAGTTGGTAAGTGAATCGAGCTTCCTCGTTGACATCGATTGTCGGAAGGTCGCAAAACAGGGGAATCATGTCATCCCCAGGACACCACGGCCGTCATGAGTACGAGTCAGTGGCCAAGCGTCTGTATTTTGAACACGCGGCCACGGGGATGCCGTAAATTGAGGACTAAATGTGAGAGGGTCATTGTCTATTTCCAATGCAAAGCATTTTTTTTAAAATCAGCCCTACCGATCCAGTCGCGGATACTTTAAATCCGTGTTTCTCAACCTTGGCGACTTTAAGTCCTGTGGACTTCAACTCCCAGAATCCCCCAGCCAGCACAGCTGTG